CCGTGTGGTTCTGGGATTTTTGTTCACCGTTCTTGTGATCATTTTGACCCCACGGGGTGAGATCTTGCGTGGAGCCCCAGATCGAGGGAGACTATCAGTGGTCTTGTATGTCTTCCATTTTCTAATAATTGCTCCCACAGTTGATTTCTTCACACCAAGCTGCTTACCTATTGCAGATTCAGTCTTCCCAGCCTGGTGCAGGTCTACAATTTTGTTTCTGGTGTCCTTTGACAGCTCTTTGGTCTTGGCCATAGTGGAGTTTGGAGTGTGACTGTTTGAGGTTGTGGACAGGTGTCTTTTATACTGATAACGAGTTCAAACAGGTGCCATTAATACAGGTAACGAGTGGAGGACAGAGGAGCCTCTTAAAGAAGAAGTTACAGGTCTGTGAGAGCCAGAAATCTTGCTTGTTTGTACTGTAGGTGACCAAATACTTATTTTACCGAGGAATTTACCAATTAATTCATTAAAAATCCTACAATGTGATTTCCTGGATTCTTTCCCCCCATTTTGTCTCTCATAGTTGAGGTATACCTATGATGAAAATTACAGGCATCTCTCATCTTTTTAAGTGGGAGAACTTGCACAATTGGTGGCTGACTAAATACTTTTTTTCCCCACTGTACATGGGATAGCTTAGTGGCGTGATTGTCATGACAACAGAGCCAGCAATAAAATCAAAGTTTAAGTTAAATCAACTCTTTTTACAATTAGACTCATCACATGTCTCAACACTACAGCCTGAAACATTCACCCAAATAGTTTAAGAAGCCTTTATTTAAATAAATACATTGATAAAAAATGAATCATTACATGCAAATAATTCAGTGTTTGTGCCCATCGGCAGTTTATTCACGTTCAATTATGGGAAAGTGGCAGCAATATAAATATATTACAGTTATATATTATGTTTATTATTTAGGCAATTTGTTTGTTTATTTGTTTGTTTATTTGTCTGAATTGCACTGCAGGTGTTCATTCAATGAGACAATAACACAGAAAGTTTAGGCAGCATTGGCTATCGAACAACAAACTCTCACGTAGCAGAATACATTTACATTTGCACAAGTAGACCAATGAGATTCAGTAATACCCTTAAACTGACATTATTCATTATACAACATGAACAATGGCAAATTAATTCTACTTCGTGCACGGACCCATTTTACTCTTTATTGACTGCTATAATGTTGGGATGTGAATAACAACTCAAACCATAAATAAAGTAGTATGCAACAAATATAAGCCCATAGATATAAGGTATTTTGGAAATAAAGAAGCATTTAATGCCACCCAACTTATACAGGCAACCCATGTAAAACTTTAAATCAGACAGATCTGATGAAAGAACCTGTCACGCTGCAAAAGAAATGTCTCACACTATGAATGAGGATGAGAGAATTATAAAGAAATCATGGCAACGCCGAACCAGAAAACAAAACAAAAACATTTTTGTAACACATTTGAATAATACTGTTTAATCATTCATCAAATGTCTGAATGCATGACTGAAATCTTTGCTCCTTTTTCTTTCTCTCATTCTCCTCTCATCAGCTATTCCTCTGATAGATTGTCCTCAGGGTTACAAGCGAATCAACAGCACTCATTGCCAAGGTAAGAGCTCTATCTCTTCTTTTATGAAACTAGTGAAGTGTTGGAAATCACTCCACGCTCGTTGACGCCACTTTAAAGGACTGTGGTACAAAGCCTGTTAGTAAAGACAGACTGATCATATCTGGGAAAGAGGTGCTAACTATGGGGAAAACGTCTTTAAGCAGCCAAGTTGGGATGGGGTCTAAGAGAGTAAAATGGCTTAGATGAAGAAACGCCATCTAAATATATATCAGGTTTTAAAGCTGTTTCTTAGGTTCCTATGTTTAAGGATTAATCAATACTTGTCGAGGTCATTCATTTTGTTAGAATATTATCATTAAAGAAGATCGTGAAGTTGCTACTACTGAGGGCTATAGGAATACATAGCTTAATATTATATCTATAAAGATGAGTAATATGGTGCTATGTTTTAAGACTATCTTGCCAGACCAACCAAGATTCTTCAAAAGTGGTGTAAAGCCATATCCTTTCAAGTTTTTGCATTGTTTGCTTTAATTTATGGGTTTGAGGGTTATACCATGGAGCAAACTTCATTTGTTTTAATATCTTCTTTTTTAGAGAGGAAATAGTATGGAATGTTATTTGCAATGAGCCTGTAGTACTATTGACAAGATGATCAACTTGGGAAGGACTAAAGTTAGCCGTAGGCTCCTGTGTTATGTTGACACAATAATTGGCTGTAGTGTTTTCCATGTTGGGTATGAAAGACTAAGAACAAGGCGTTCAAATGAGTTATAATTTAGTTTATATATAGGATTATAGGCTTGAGTCAAAGATGGCTGCTACTCCACATCCTCGACTGGCGCCTCAAGGAATAGAGTATTAATATGACTTGGAGGAGTTGATTCATTTAGGCTGACATATTCTTCATTACACAGACAGGTTTCAGTAAGACAAAATAAATTAATATGATTATTTTATATTAAATAGTTTACTACTACAGCCTTAGATGGCAAAGATCTGATATTTAAGAGTCCACATTTAATTCTCCTATTTTGTTGCACTGCTGTGACAAAAATAAAGAAATAATTTAGTCTCTCTTAATCAGACCAGGTTTTCCCCAGAAAGTCTGCCAATTATCTATGAAACACAAATAATTAGCTGGACACCACTTTGACAGCCAGCGTCGGAATGATGACATGAGGTAAACATGTCATCACTGATCAGAAATGGCAGATGCCCAGAGAAGTATGTCCGACATTGTCTTTGCATATGTACACTGAGACTCAACATTAACTCCAGTGAGCTCTGATTGGCGTGATCCGCTGTCATTACTGTTGACGTGAATAACAACCTTACTGTATTTAGACTTATCTTCAGCAGGAGAGGTAGAGAGGGAAGCCATCGTTAACTGCTTAGTAGTACGGTAGCTAACGTTAGCATAACTGGACAACTCGTTAACAACTGTGGGATTTAGCAAGAGGTTGGCTAAAACAGGGACAGAGCTATAAGTGCTTAAGCAGAACTAGCGAAAGTTTACATGTACAGCGGTTAATTAGTAACTTTAATGAAGAATATAACACAATTTTGTGTTGTGCGACTCTGAACAATCGGAGGATCTGCGGTTCGATCCCCGGCTCCTCTAGTCCATGTCGATGTGTCTTTGGGCAAGTCACTTAACCCCAAATTGCTGCCGCAGGCTGTTCCTGCGGTGTATGAATGTTAGATAGTCCTGATGGGCAGGTTGGCACCTTGCATGGTAGCCCCTGTCATCAGTGTA